GGGGGTTGGACCAGCCTGGGTGAGGGACTCATGGCTGTTTGCAGGCTCGCCAAGCCCTCCAGTGGGGACCCTCACCCCATGGGGGTGTGGTCAGCCTGGATAGGGGCTGATGGGCATTTTCAGGCTGGCTACGACTGCGGGCTGGAAGCAGGTATCTGGGATTTATTTATCTTCTATAACTGAAACTTTGTACCCTTGAACAGAGCTCAGGGCCGGCCAGGGCAGGCGGGAAGCTTGGCTTCCTCCATTGCTGGGGGCAACCTAAGTCTCCTGCTTGCTCCAGCTCTGTGGCCACCGCCATCTTAGTTGGGTTAATTTGCATACTTGCTCCTGATTGGCTGGTGCGTGAGCAGAGTAATAGTTAATTTGCATGTTCCTCTTTTATTAGTGTAGATAAATAGCAGAACAACAAAATGAACACATGTAAATCCATTCACAACTTAAGAACTAGAATATTCCATTATATTGCAGGTGTGTGCCTCTTTTTCTCCCACCCTCCTATCTCCATGCAAATATACTCCTTCCCTGTATTTGATGTATCAATCCCTTAATTTTTTTGAGTAGTTGCATGACATATCTTTGATTCTCTAAACAATATGTTTTGTTTAGCTTGCTTGGAACTTTATAATTATATTCTACTAAAAGGAATTTTCTCTGATTTTTAAAACAGCTTAATATTACATTTCTAAGCTTCACCTGTGTTGTTGTCTGTAGCTTTGCTCATACTGAGGAGGAAACTGGTCTAGCAAGGTGTGTCAGGCCATAAAAACTGTGAACAATGCACTGCCCTGGGTGGGGGAGGGTTGTTATGCTGGTGCCAGGATGTGGCCTGATACCTGGGGGCCTTTCTGCAGGGCCACGAAGCGGGCAGGGGGCCTATCTGCAAGACAAAGACTCCAGCGGGATATATAGACAGGCTCTCTGCATGTTTCTTCACTCTGATTTGGAAATTATTCCTGGAGTCCACTAGTGTTAATAAACGGGGTCCCTCCCTTTCTCTATGAAGCGAGCTTGGTATTTCTTTGGTCTTCTATAACAATACCTTTTCATTGCAGTATATTCAACCATCATGTGAATATTTTAAAAATTATTTATCCATTCTCCTCTTCTCGAGGTTGCTTCTAGCTTTGTTTGTTTGCTTGCTTTTGTTAATACAAACAATTATACTATGAACATTCATGTATGAATTTGGGAATATATGTGTAAGAATTTTTTTAGGGTACATACCTAAGAGTAAAACTGTTCAATAGGATACATGGGAGTTGAACTATGCCAAATTGTTTTTCAAAATAGTTTTATCAAGTTACACTCTGTAGGGTGATTTTTTAAAATTAAATACGTTTTTATTGATTTTAGAGAGAGAGGAAGGGACAGGCAGAGAGTGAGAAACATCCATTGGCTGCCTCCTGCACGCCAAGGATTGAACCCACAACCCAGGCATGTGCCTTGACCAGAAATCAAACTGGCAAGCTTTTGGTGCATGGGACAACGCACAACCAACTGAGCCACACTGGCCAGGGCTGTAGGGTGATATCTAAGATTACCTGTTATTAAATGTCCTCTTCAAGCCTTAACACTGTTGGACTTATTAAGTTTGGCTATCTACTAGTTATAAAATGTTACCTCATTATGTTCCTAATTTATAATAAATATTAATTATTTTTATAATAAATAATTATTTTTAGAGAGAGAGGAAGGGAGGATAAAGAGAGAAACATCAATGTGAGACAGAAACATTGATTGGTTGCCTCCCATACACACCCCAACTGGGGATAAAACCATGGGTTTGTGCCCTGACCAGGAATTGAATCTGCGACCCTTCAGTGCACAGGACATTACAACCAACTGAGCCACACTGGCCAGGGCTGAAGTTTTCTTTCTTTTTCTAATTGATTTTAAAGCCTTTTAAAAAAACATTCTATATTAATTCGTTGGTCATAATGCATTCTGCGGATGTCTTCTCCCAATCTGCTTTTTTCACTTTCTTTATAGTGTTTTGACAAACGAATGCTCTTAATATTAATGTCATGGAACTTTTCAATCTTTCTTTTATGTTTAATGCTTGAATATCTTATTTCAGAAATCTTGCCATAATCCAAGGTCATAAAAATATGATCCTATATTCTCTTGTAAAATTGTTAAAATTTTACCTTTTAGAATTAAATCTTTAATTCTTTTGAATTCATATTGTGTGTGTATATATGAATGGAATGAATTAAGGAACACAAATTTATTTGTATCCGCTTGGATAGGAAAGTTAAGGTTTGTTTGGTTTTTAATCTTATCCTCTTTAAACTATTCTATTTATAATGGCCCACTGCAATTAATCAAAAAGCCCCTCCTTTCCTAATAATCCTCCTTTCCCAGAGATCTATAATATAACAGGTTTCCATAAGTACATGAGCCTAGTTGAAGACTCTATTATTTCATTGGTCAGCTGGTTGGTTCTAGGAACAGAGTCGCACTGTCTCAATGCCTACAGCTTTACAATAAAACTTGATATCTCAAAGGGAAAACCCCAGACTATTTAATTCTTCTTTAGAGAGTTATTGATTGTTCTTGGGTCATAATTCTTTCAAATACATTTTAGAATCAGCTTGTCAAACTCATAAAAAACCATGTAAGATTTTTACTAGAATTGTATTGAATATATAGGTCAATATAGGGAGAGACGACATTTTTATGATATCAAGTTGTCCTCTTCATACGCATGGGTATGTATCTCCATTTAAATAGGATTTCTTTAATATCTTTCAATAACATTTTATCATGTTCTCCATTCAGACTTTACCCACCTTTTGCTGGGTTTATTTCTAAATACATAACTTTTGTTACTAATATAAATGATATTTCTATTTGCTTCCAGTGGGTGAAAATGCAACTAACTTTTGTATACTATCTTCTATCCAATGAAGATGCTAAATTCTATCATTACTTACAATACTCTGTAGACTCCTTTAGATATTTCAGGTAGACAATTATATTATTTGCCTGAAAATAGTCTTTACATTGTCTCAGATTAAAAGACATGAACTAGACCTGCTGGTATGGCTCAGCAGTTGAGTGTCAACCCAGGGACCAAAAGGTCCCTGGTTTGATTCCTGGTCAAGGCACATGCCTGGGTTGAGGACTCAATCCCTAGCAGGGGGCATGCAGAAGGCAGTCAATCGATGATGTTTCTCGTTCCTCAATGTTTCTATCACTCTATCCTTCTCTTCTCCCTTCCTCGCTCTCTAAAAATCAACTGTAGAACCATTAACCATTGTGTTATTGGTGGGGTGCTCTCCGTGGCAGCCTCTGTAACCTGTGGAAGTGGAGTTCCTGCGATGTTTCAAGAAAATGAATTTTCTGAGACTCTTGAGGGAGGAGGAATGATCTTTATTTCTGTGGAATTGAACCCCTGGATTTCCAAAGTCCCATTTCCCTCCTTCCCACCATGGAAAAAGTCCAATCTTGCCTTCAGCAGGCTAGAATTAAGGCCACTGCCCAGAGTCTCCACTTCATATTAAAGCACAGTCCAATCCAGCATCTGGCTAGCTTAGCCTGTGTTCCCAGCTCCAGTCCATTGTATGCTTAAGGCCACATGGCGGGCAAGTGTAGGTCAAAGAGCAAGAGAGCTCAAGAGCAAGCAAGAGCACAAGAGAGAGGAACTCTTTGGGGACTGTAACCAGGAGCTTAACCAATTAACCCTTCAAGACTTCATGTGCTTGCAGTGGCTTCACCCCCTTAGCCAATTATCTTTTTCCCAGGGTAGACTGGCAAACAAGGACCTTCCCTATGACACCCAGACTTCACTGCACAGGTGCTTATCTTCCTCTTTGTTGGGTTCCTTCCCCCAGTGATCTGCAGGGTATGGACAGGTGGTTCCCTGGGAGGCATGAAGCTGTAGTTTCCTGGTGAAGCTGCCCAGATGACCATGCTTATTATGTCTGGCCTCCCCTTTGCTCTCTTCATGTTATTAATATTAATAACTAGCTAATTATGACAATAACTGAAAGAAAAGCCTGGACAGGGTTGTCAAAATTTATGAAGTGGAGATGGAAACTGTAACAAAACAGCAATAGAAGGCACAGTAGGAAGGCAGCAAATTCTCTGCTCATTCTTCACCGACCCCGCCATCCTTTCTGGAAATTCTCCTAGTTTGGTATGAAGTCTAGGAGCACACTCTAAGGCCGCCCTAAAGAAAAGGAGTTTATTGGCTTCTGCTCAAGATGGCGGAGTAGGTAAACAATGTGCTCACCTCCTCCCTCGACCGCATCAAAATTACAACTAAACTACAGAACCATCATTGAGAATCACCTGAAGTCTAGCTGAAAAGAAGTTCTATAACGAAGGATATACAAAAAAAGCCACATCAAGGGAGTTGAGAAACAAAACGATTATTATAAAGAAAAGAAGTTTCTTACAGATATACAAAAAAGTCTCCCACAACAAGGGCAAAGTCATGGTAGTTCTGGTTTAGATGGAAGAAAGGCTTCTTCCAACATTTTCATAGTCTCCTGTTCAAAAGTCTGAATTAACTGTAGGACTAAGAGTGTGAGGATAGGACCACTCCATAGCATCAGTAACAATTACAGTGGATTCAGCAAGCAAAGTCAGAAATAAACAGAGATATTTTCATGGTCCTTTTTCCAGGTTCTTGCTAAGACAGTAGGCAATATGGCAGAAAAGAGAAAGCAAGAGGTGCTAAAGAGAAAAAAAAGTGAGGCCAGGTAGCAGGAAAGTACCCACCAACCAGCAGGTTGTCATACACACTTTGTACACTAACTCCATGTCTAAGGTGGTGATCAAACCGTTGCCTTCATTATGACCTGACATTTGGTAATTTTCTACTTTTCCCCACCTTGCCAATGGAATGTAAATCCCAAGGGAGTAAGCCAGATGTCTGGATGGTCAACCATCATATTCTCAGGGATTAGAAGAGAACACAGTAGGTAACAGATACTCAACAAAGGTATGCTGAATGAAAGGAAGGGATGCCTTCCTTCTCTGTCTTAGCAACAATAAAATTCAATGATTTTTAAGAGTTGTGAAACTATCACCATATCTAATTTAGGTACCATTGTAATTAACCTAGTATTAATAACAAGAACAAAGGAGCAAAGAAGGCCAGATATTACAGGCATGTCATTTGGGCAGCTTCACCAGGAAGCTAAAGCTTTACAATTCCCCAGGGAGCCACTGATCTGTTCCCCACAGATTGCAGGGGGAAGGGACTGGACAGGGAGAAGGATATACGGAAGCATGCCCAGTAAAGTACCCGGGAAGGTACTTGTCTGTCAGTCACACCTGGGAACAGATCATTGGCCAGAGTGGGCATAGCCACTGCAAGGAGGACATTTGGGATAGTTAATTCTCTGAACAAAGAAGCTCTTGTACTCTTGATTCCTCTTACGCTTTTGGGACTCTGATTGCTCGAGGTGTGCTCCCCAGTATTCGCCCTCATTAGTGTTTCCACTCTCTGACTGAATCCTGACTGATAGAATATACTGTCACAATTAAGGTTGACCCATAGAATCCACAGCTTCCAAGAGAAAAAATAGGAGATATAGAAACTTTATCAATCTAATAGAAAACAGAAAAAGATGGGGAGAAAGCAAAAAGTTTATGGACCCATGTATATGCACTATAGGGGTGGGAAAGAGATTAACCAGGAACTTATATGCACATATGCATAGCCCATGGACACAGACAGTAGCTGATGAAGGCCTAGGAGGGGCCGGTGTGGAGTGAAGGGGGTCAATGGGGAAAAAAAACAAAGGAAACATCTGTAATACTTTCAACAATAAAGATAAATTAAAAAAAAAAGAAATGAACAGTAAAGATACAAACCAACTAAATGATAAAAGTTGCCTCTGGTGAGGGACTTGAAATAAAGCCTCTATGGTACCTTTAACATTCAAAATGAAGATAATATACATAGTGTTCTTCAGCTTGTTTTTTGTTTTACTTATCTTTAAAAAAGATTTTTTTTATTGATTTCAGAGAGGAAGGGAGAGGGAGAGATAGAAACATCAATGATGAGAGAAAATCATTGATCGGCTGCCTCCTGCAGGCCCCACGCTGGGGATTGAGCTTGCAACCCAGGCATGTGCCTTGACCAGGATTTGAACCATGCCCTCCTGGTTCATAGGTCAATGCTTAACCACTGAGCCATACCAGTCAGACTAGAATTTTTAAAGACATTTTACTTATCTTTTGGTTATTTTTACTGTGGTTGCATTGTAACTGTAAATTAAATCTAACATATGCATTAAAAACTATCCTACTTATGCACTCCCACAGCATACTATGGTTTTCCATCAAAGCACTTGCCACACTTTATTATCTATTGTTTATTTAGTTACCTGCCTTCACATATGCACTCTAATCGCAATCAAGGCAGGGACCATTTCTATCTCATTCACTATGAATTCCTTAGTCCTAACATGATGCTTCCTATTAGGTTATATATGCAGAAATATGGGTAAATTATCTCCAATGCTAGCATAAGGCCTGACCCGTGAGTTGTTTATTGAATCAATACAAAAGAATGGAATTCACACCAGTTTGTTAGTGTTTCACCCATTCCAGGAAATTCTAAAAGAATGTCTTGCATGGGCTTACAGTCTTCAGGGGCGGAAGCTACTCTGTGGTCACTAGGATGTTATTTTGTGACTTTACTCTGAGCACAACTGGAAAGTGGAGGTTCACTGTTGGTGGTATACTCTCACTCCTCACTCCACAGCCTGTGGTCTGGTTTTGCAGACAATTAGCAGAAAAGTTATCCAACTGCTTTTTAAAAATATGTATGTTTTGCCGAAACCGGTTTGGTTCAGGGGATAGAGCGTCGGCTTGCGGACTGAAGGGTCCCAGGTTCGATTCCGGTCAAGGGCATGTACCTGGGTTCTGGACACATCCCCGGTGGGAGATGTGCAGGAGGCAGCTGACCGATGCAACACTTTTCATTTATTTTATTTATTAAAAAAAATATGTATGTTTTATTGATTTTTTACAGAGAGGAAGGAAGAGGGATAGAGAGTTAGAAACATCAATGAGAGAGAAACATCGATCAGCTGCCTCCTGCACACCCCACACTGGGGATGTGCCCGCAACTCAGGTACATGCCCTTGACCGGAATCGAACCTGGGACCCTTCAGTCCGCAGGATGATGCACCATCCACCCAGCCAAACCGATTAGGGTGGTTATCCAAATGCTTTAATGCAATTTCCAAAAACTGACTCACATCAGGAAAGGCATGTAGGCACTTGGAGTCTGAAAAGAAATTGCCAGATCCACTCACCTCAATTCCCTCCCAGTACCATCTTCCTTCTGTTTCCC